AAACCCCACCGCATTTTTTAAAGCTATTAGATTTGAACACGTGTCGTGCGCTAAGTCGTTCGCATATTCCTTTCTGGGCAAGGACGGAGCTAGTGTGGGGGCAGTGGGGGCAGCTGCCCAAGTTCCCCCACCCCATCCCTTTATATATATGTATGTATATATTTGCATAAATAGCATTAAATGACATATAAAATTTAGATTTACGTTTAAATTATTAATAGTTTGTGTAACTTGGTTGAACTCTAATTTTGAGGTTAAAAAGTGTATAGTCATAGGTTCAAATCTCATTAACTACACTTATTTATTTTAGTCTACTTTTATGAATCATTTAATTAACAAATAAAATGTTTTTTTTAGTCTACCATTTATGAACATTTAATTAACAAATTAAATGCTCTTATTAGTCTAGTTTTATGAATCATTTAATTAATGTACAAAAACTTAAAGTTGATCTAACTAAAAAAATTAAAATTAAAAAGTAGTTATGAATATATTGTTATTCATATTATTTTATCTTATTGATTATGTTTCATAATTTATCATAAATATTTTCATATTTTCATCGTACTCAAGTATATTTTTTATTTCGACTCTAACAATAGTGTAATCTATAAAAAATATTATATTGTAATTTATAATGTATTTTGTATTTTAACCTTACGAATGTTTGATATTTTGTAATTGACATTTCTAACCTCGTTTAAATATCACCCCCACTCAAATAATTTTCTGGCTCCGTCTCGGTTTCTTGGCACTTATTCGAGTGCATCTATATATATATATATATATATATATATATATATATATATATATATATATATATATATATATATTACGGATTTTAATTAGTATTGCTGGGAATGTTAGATTACCTTAGGGAATGTTAGATTGCTGGGAATGTTATATTACTGGGAATGTTAGATTCCTGTGTTTGGTTAAGACTGAGGTATATAATATAATTATGTTTGGTTTAGGGTTATCTTTATATATATATATATATATATATATATATATATATATATATATATATATATATATATATATATATATATATATGTGTGTGTGTGTGTGTGTGTGTGTGTGTGTGTAAGCTAACATAAAATATATATTTTTAAATAATTAGAATGAAAATAGCAAAAATATCCAAGGTTATCTCACATTACCTAAGAAAAGGAAGGGAATCACATTCCCTTCAAAATCCTATGTGGAGGGAATGTTCCATTCCGTGGGAATGTTATATTCCCTCAGATAGTATGAACCAAACATAGGAATCTAAGCTCAGGAATGTCATATTCCCATGATTAGGTAATATAACCTGAACCAAACGCCCCCTAAAGGATTTTTAAAAAATGTTTTTGCGTAATTGTAATTTATTTATACTAAGGATATTTTTATCTTTTTTTCATCATGGAAAAGTACAAATATTCATATAAAATGTTAATGTAGTAAGGATAATATGAAAGTATGAAGGGGTAATATAGTAATTGGGAATTGGGAATTTATATTAAAACAATATTTTTACTTGGCTCAGGCTAAGTGGTCACAGGGGTCACTTCGAACAATAGAACTTCATCATTACTTTGTTCTGCGATTCATGTGTATATTTAAATATATAGAACTAATATATTTATCATTTAACATTTTTTTTTACTAACATGAAAATAAATAAAATTTATAGTTTAGTTCAAAAGAAAAGTTATATCTGCAAGCATGAATGTGTTTATGGATGGTTGCATATATAAGTATGTGTGTGTATATATATAATTACATAGCATGCATGCATCCAATGTGAAATATGATGTGTACGTACCTGAATCACCATTATCATGGGAAGTAGCTATAGTTTTGCTCCATATTGCTTCACTTGATGATTCATCATTTTTATATAATAAACCACAACTCCAATCTGTTGAAACGTTTGATGCAGGATACCCCAATAATGCCACCTCAAATACCAAATAATCACTGGGGGTAGCGTTCGATTTATTGTTAAACAGACTATGAAATGGTATGTAGGCAAAGCATATGATGATTTCACTACGGTTGAATACATAATCATACTCTTCATCGCATAGTCTGCCGATCACACAATTTGTTTTGAGAAGTTGTTCATTATCTTTGTGTACCAGCTGGGCTATGACCTCACCGTATCTAAAAGGACGACCGTCTGGGCATGATTTCCATACATATTGGATAACCGGTTGCTCTGATTTGAGAATAAAGCACACAACAAATCCCATAAAGCTTTGATTATACCAGGAGGATTCAAGACTAATGGAGATCTTATTTGAATCATGAGATGAATATTTGAACCCTTTCGTGATAGTGATATCTCTGTCCGTTGAATATACATCAAAAGGATAGGTAACAATGAAAGAAGAGTTTCTCATGATTTGAAAAGGCGCATGAGAAAACTTCCTAGCTATCTCCACAGCTGAAAAAGTTACCTCTTTATCTCCATATGAGAATGAGACAGAATATAATTTTGGGTACTTGGTTGCTAGCTTGGCTATGTTGCTTTCAGAAGCCAAATTAACATTTACATATAATTCTCTTATAGTAGCTAGGAGTTTTGGTAGCACTTTAAGTTTTCCACAACCACTGATGTCAAGATATCTAAGACTAGGAAGTTTGCTATAACATGCAGGTAAACGGACAAAATTTCTGCTACCGTGATTCAAGTACTCTATCTCCGACTCCAATGAGGTCAAGCATCCAATATCATTTGTTGTGAGTAGTCCTAATATCAACGTACGAGGTTAAGATTGAGCACTTGAAATATTGTATATATATATATATATATATATATATATATATATATATATATATATATATATAAAATAGTTTACTCAAGCAGTCCAAAAGAAAGTTCACACACACAGACATGCAAAGATATGTATGATGTATCTATGCGCTTCAGTGCATGTAAATGTATGTACATAATAGCATAGTAATATAGTGTAACACTCCTTCCCTCAAGTTATTATATTTACAATTTAATTTTTCAGTAATAAAACCTATATACTTGTAAACTTTATTAGAAGTTATGCCAAATACAAAAATGTAAATTTGAAAATTTAAAAAGAAATTGTTAAAATATGAAAAATAAATAAATTTTTGTTTTTCATTAGTTTTTTTTTTTATAATGAGGAAACACGCAACTACTACCCAAGGGTATGCATCGGGTAAATCCATTATTGAATTGTGACATTAACTAGTAAAAGATCACAAGGAGGCAAAACAACTTAGTTAGCACATCCCTTCAAAAAAAAAAAATAGGGTAATGTTTGAGTACCTGAATCACTCCTATGATAATTAGCCATATGCTCTCTTGCTCCTATTGGCCTGAAAGCACATTTTTTAATTCAGCAAATTTAAAAGTAAAAATTATATAATTATGCTTGTTATGAATTCATTCCTAGCCTAAATAAAAGAGAAAACAAAAACAATATGAAAAAAAAAAAAATGTTATCTAGTCTAGTAATAAAGTATATCTACTACAGAGCATTAAAAAAGTTGAAAAGGTAGGTAAATATATGAGGGGAAGAAAAAGGAAAATTTGAAATTATTATATTTAATATTAATACCTTTTGTACAATAAATCAATGCCCCATTCTGCTGAAGCTTCAAAACCCAAAAGTTCCACCTCGAATCTTGAACAATCATTTGCTTCCATCATTGGTTTAGATTCAGGCCACAAACTACTAAATGGTAGGTACACCAAGCAAATCATGTGATCTTTTATATAAACACCATCATCGTCCTTGACATTACAATTTGATCCAACTATCACACATTTTGATTGGAGATCTTCATTTTCAATATCATTATGTGATGATAGTTTGGCTTTAATCACACAATGACGAGTATGATTATCAAAGCATTTGTACGAGTGTGGTCCCCATATTCCTTTTTCACCTTGAGGTAAAAAATATACAGCAAATCCCATAAATTGTGTACTATACCAACGAGGATTGAGATTAAAAGAGATCCTATTTGACCATATGCGCCGGTATTTGGATGATTTCAAAAGACTGTAAGCAAAAAGCTTATTCGGATGATGATAGCGAACACTAAAAGGAGTCTTTCTGAAAAATGGAAATTGAATGCCCCTCTTCCTAAAATTATCACTCCAAGAGGATAATGAGATTGAATATAACATGGGGTACTTGATTGCTAACATAGCTATGCTGCTTGACTCGTTTCCAAAGGCCAAATGGGAATCCACATATAGTTCACTTATTGTTTTTGGGAGTTCTGGCAACTTTTTAAGTTTATCACAATTTGTGATGTCAAGGTATTGAAGGCGAGGGAGTTGACTGAAACTTTCAGGTAAATAACTAAAACAGCTTCCCTGTATATTCAAATATTCCAATGAGATCAAGCATTGTCCAAGATCTGAAGGGAGTTCTTCGCCGATGGTCTTAAAATTACAGAGCTGTAGCCTTTTCAATGAGCACAAACCTGATACACTACGCACAAATTTGAGAGACTCTTTAACAAACATTTTGCTTCCCCAACACAAGCATTCAAGTGAGCTCAACTGCGTTATTGAAGATGGGAGTTGAAAAATGGCAGTACCAATTATATGAAGCTCTTCCAAGTTTGACAAGTTGCCCAGGTTTTCTGGCAATGACTCTAGTTGGTCACAATCTCTAAGCTCAAGAATTTTAAGGCTTTTCAACTCACATAAGTCATCAGAAAGAGATACAAGATCTTTACACCGAATCAAGCGTAACTCGGTGAGCCCACATAGTTGCCGGATGGATGAGGGGAGTTCGGTAATGAGAATAGATTCTAAATTCAACTCCACTACATGTGGAATACTTTTCTGGATTTCTGGAAAATTTTCTAATGGGCAGCCATTAAGTTTGAGAAATTCAAGAGATGAAAGTTGAATAAAGCTGGGAAGCTTCTTTAGGTTATCGCAAGAACTTAAATCCAATAAAATAAGCTTCTCTAGACGTCCCACAGAGGGATGAATCTATATTAATTTCTCACAACCTGAAAGGTATAACTTTTCCAAATTCGGCATCATATCAAAATTTGGAGTCTCTAGCAAAGAACAGGAAAAGCTAAGATCCAAATAGGTAAGCTTCTCAAGACGTCTGATGGAGGGATGAATCTCTATTAATTTCGCACAACGTGAAAGGTATAACTTTTCCAAATTCGGCATCATATCAAAATTTGGAGTCTCTAGCAAAGAACGGGAAGAGCTAAGATCCAAATAGGTAAGTTTATTTAATTCCTGCATGCATGCGTGCAAGAGTAGAAGAAGATGGAGATCAAATAAAATAATTAGTTTAAGCTATTTAATTAATTAATATAATGTAAGAAAAATAATTTAACACAGTAGTGAGTGAGCAGGTTAGAATCATATACGTACCTTAGTTATCCAACAACTTTGAAGAGAATTATCGTGCAGACAAATCCCAACAAGCTCCAATGGATTCGTATCCATGCTAGAGGAATGAAAACTTGTGGGTAATGAAAGGAAAGGATAATGTGGGAAATGAAGCCACCTCAAGCTGCTAGGAAGCTCATAATTATCCTTGACATCACGCTCAAAATTAGGATGCACATAATTATACAAGACATCACGATTAAACTCATTATCCACCCACGACAATTTACCTATGGGTATAGGTATCTTCAAAGAACATTTACCTATGAGTATCTTCAAAGCTTCAAAGACACTCCTAATATTCTCATAATTGTGCTGCCAAAATCCATATAATTGGTAGGGGAATAAAACACATTCCATGTGTTTAGTAAGCTCCTGAAAGAATAAAATAAAACAAACCATCAAGCTAAGTTAGCTAGCTGGGAAGCTAGGAAAAATTAACTACTAATTAATTCTGCTAGCTAGCTACATCCATCTAATTATATATGCCTTACCATTTTTCTGTATAATAATTCAGCATCCTCAACCTCCCATACCATGCTCCTAGGTTTCTCCTCTCTTGCAATATGCCAACCCATATCTTGGATTAGATCGTGCATCTCAATTCTTCCTTTGACATCGACTGATATCATAGATCTTTCGACGAGCACACGCATACCAATGATCGGATGCAAATCACAACTTTTAAGCACATCTTTTACATATTCTTCATTCTCGTGTCTGAAAAAACATGCAATATGTAAAAAGATTTTTTGGTTTTTGGGATCTAGTCTATCAAAACTTATCTTAAGCTTCCCATGAATATCATCATTTGGGGTGTCCTTGAGTTGCTCTAAAGTGCTTTCCCAATCAGCAGCCTCTAATCCACAAAGAGAAGACCCTAAAATTTTAAGAGCTAATGGAAGACCCTTACAATAATGCACAATTGATGTACAGAGTTGTGCCACGCCAGTCTTAGGTTTCTTTTTAAAGGCATACAATCTAAACAGTTGAATACCTTCCTCCTTCCCCAATGTGTGTACTTGGTATATATACTTTTCATCAACTCCATGAGAACGCAATACTACAGCATCTCTTGTGGTTATAATCACTCTACTACCCCTACCAAACCAATCTCGACGTCCAGCTAATTTCTGTAATTGTTCCACCTGATCGTCTACATCATCAAGAACAATCAAAACCTTTTTCCTTCCAAGCCATTCCCGTATCTTCACCATTCCATCAACCTCATTGCTTATTCTCATCTCCCCCTTTAGAATGGTTTTTAAAAGGGTCTCTTGCGATTCAGTGATCTTATGTTGTTTAACATCATTAAGAAAGCAAGCTCCATTAAATTGACTCAAAAATTTGTTAAAAACAAACATTGCAATTGTTGTCTTGCCAACACCTCCCATACCCCAAATTCCAATGAATTGAACATCATCAGGTTCCTGTGTCAACAACTTACCTACATCGGTAAGGCTAGATTCCAATCCCACGAAATTGTCAAGAACAGTTGAGGAGGCTTGAATGGATCGATTCACTCGAGTAAATATGTCATTAGTAACTGTTTCGACACATTTTGATTCGAACCTGACAATATTGAACACAAATTATTAATTGAAGCATGCAATTGAGTACTCAGACTTAATAGAATTCAAGTAATGTTACTTAGATTATTATGGGACAGATCCCATTATATACACAAAGCCTTTTCCGTGTATATAATTTGTTGCTAATCATAAATATTATTTTTACTACTTATTCTTTCTTAAAAACTAGACTAGATAGTAACACTACTCGCATTAATTAAATAAATAAATAAAACTTTAAATAGTAAAAAATCTAAAGCAAACGACATGTATAAAAATGAAAGAACAGAGGAAGAAGAAGTTGATCGAAAGCATATATATACCCATTGAAGTCATTCTGCAGATGATACCCTGAGATTTCGCCACCCTTTTTCAACGCTTCCTTCCATCTTTCCACCTTCGCCTTCCCCGTGGTCTCTTCTTCATGTCTCTTAAATGATTCACCAAAACTTTCTGTTTGATTGCGCACAACTGAAGGCTCTACATCATAGAAAATGGGTATCACAATTTCCTCGCTGCACTGTTGTTGGCATTCCATGATTGTTGCAATTTCTTCCAAACACCATTTTGCTGATGCATAGTCTTTCGAGAATACGACAATTGCAAATCTTGATTCTTTAATAATTTGTAACAACTTCTCAATACGTTGTCCTTTCTCCAATCTCTCATCGTCTTTGAAAGTGCGAATTCCTTTCTGTTGTAGCTCTTTGTAAAGATGATCCACAAACGTCTTTCGAGTATCTTCGCCTCTAAAACTCAAGAAAACATCATACTCTTTTTTGCGGACTGATTGGGAAGGAGTAGAAGAGGTAGAACCCACTGATGGGTAAAGAGTAGAAGAAGTATGACCCATCAAGCCATAGATTTATTTGAAATGGGCGGAAATTGGGTTCCTCAGAAACATAGATCCGAGGGAAGTATAATTAGGTAGAGTGGAGAATCAAAAGCATATGAACAACAAACTAATAAGGTCTTACTTGAATAGCAAAACGGAGTTAAGAATACATATAGGAATAGGAGTTACTTGAATTGCTTAAGTCGTCTCATGAGTCAACTCCCAAATTAAATTTAATGGAATTGGGTCACATGGGTGGGCGCCACTCAAAAGTTGAAGACAAGTGGTGCATAGAAGAAAACAAAAGGTCCACTACCTAAAAAGCAACAATTGAGTAGAAAGAAGGGACGTATGAGTCATATCACTGTCCACTACCTTATTACTCAAAGATTCTACTGTTAGACTCAGAAATAGTTGAAATTATTTATATGTGAGAAAATTACTTTTTAAATCCATAATTTATAAGGTATTCTCAATAAGGGATTGTTAACTTTGTTTTAGAAAAAGTTGTTTACAGGGATAAAAGAGAATGAGCTATGATAGAGAATGAAAAGAGACAGACCGTGGTTTTGGTTTTAGGAAAAGTTACTTATATAGACGGTGGTTTTGGTTGTTTTATGTTTTATTTTTATTTTTTTTTAGTTTTTCTTTCCTAATCACACCTACAAAAATTTCTCAAAAATTATATTAAAATTTTCACTATTGAAGATGCCCTAAAACAAATATATATAAATTGTAAAATTTATACTTTTTTAATGCTACTAACTCTATTACAATGTAGTATCTGTTCATATACTTTCTCAATCTACTAAAACACAAAGAGCCAATAACGCCTCTACCGACACTCGAACCCACAAAATTAAATTTGTATAGATAAACAAAATAAGTCTAGTACGAATTACGAAATGTATAATGCTTTTAAAATATAATATAATATTTTTTATAAATTTATCAAAAAATATTATATTCTATTAAATATTAATATACATTTCAAGAATTCAAGTAATTCTGTCTCATTTAAAATTTATTAAAAACAAGATGATCATCTTATTAAATTTTACTGTATCGTCCCTTCTTTGAAATTGAAATGAAATTAAAGATGGAGATAGAATAGATGGGTGGGAACACAGATTTCAGACTTTTTACTTCCCAAAAACCCTTGAGATACTAAAAACTTTTTAGTATCTCAAGATTTTTTTGGGAACAGCTCCACGCAAAGGCCAAAGCTTTTTTTTTATTTTTTTTTGAAACCTGCAAAGGCCAAAGCTGGTAAAAACTTTTGGGAACAGCTCTACCAAAGACTAAATTTAACTTAATAAATAAATAAATAAATCGCGCGTCTAACGTATTTTGCAACATTAATTTTTAGTTTACACTTTAGAGGATGTTTGGTTCACAGAATCTTGAATTACCCCAAGTAATAGAATTATTTCCAGAAAGGTAATGTAAGATTTTGAAAATATAAGATTACCTTATGTGTTTGGTTTAAATTGTGTAATATAATATTATTTTGTTTTGGTTAAGGTTATAATGGTGAATTTATAACCTTAGGCTGACCACATCCCAGTAGGGCTGGGCACTTCGGGTTTCGGTTCAGTTTTTTTCGGTTTCGATTTTCGGTTTTAAAAAAATTAAACCATTCGGTTTAAAATAGAGTTTGGTTTCGGTTTCGGTTTGAAAAGTTCGATATTCGGTTCGATTTTGGTAGAAGTCCACTAAATAAACGTTTCATTTTTTACTTGCCCGATTGTTTACTTGGCTCACTTGGAGTGCCACTTGAAGTGTTTTGTTGATGACAATATAAAGAATCATCCATCTATAGTTAATATTTGAAAAATAAGAATTATTAAAATGCCAAATGTTGAGACTTACGACTTAGAGTTGAGATCTGAGTACTTGAGGAGTTAAAATTATTAATTATTATAATATGTATATATAATACTAGCATTTTGTATGAGTGATGCGCGAAAATTTATGCCCAACATTAAAAATTTGATAAATTCAAATAATTACAAATTAGTTCAAATTATATTTCACAAAATCCTTAAATTAGTAAATTTTAATCATCGTATTTGAAAACTATAGAGATGAACAAAATTGATATTTTGTTTATTAATAATGTAAACAATTTTGATATAATTTATACTTTGTTTTTACAATAAATAAATAAAATATATATAATACTAACTAGTAACCGGTCACATATATTGGTGCGTGTGCGTGCCTATATATATATACACACATATATGATTTATTATTCATAGAAATTTAATTAAAATATAATCAACAATTAAACTAATTATATAATGATTTTAATAAAATGATAATTAAAGAATAGGAAAAAGATATCATAGATAATTAGATATAGGTGTATGATAATAATGATAGAATTATGAAAGTTTTAGAATTAAATAATAACGGTATTATAACGGTATAAGGGTATTTTAGTCTAACAATAATGTAGTAGGGATAATTTTGTCTATTACAATTGAAGTTTACAACATTTAATAAAACAA